CCCTTAGCCATATGGCTAGTGGTTCCCTAGGTTTTATTTTTGATTCTTGGCATGACTCTTGTAATTCGCCCTGGGTGCGGGTGTGGTGTGTGATGGTGGTACGGGTTGTGCCTTGTGCATCAGTGACCTGCTCGACGAGCACTATCAGGTGGAGTGCGGTCAGGACAGGGTTAACCGCGTTGGGTGGTGTGCGGGCCGGGCGTGACCCGGGCCCTTTTTCGTGCTCTGTGCGGGCTGTGGCCAGCAGCCTGGGCACGCGGGGTCGGAGAGAACGGGCAACAAGCTAGAATTAGGCACAGACTCGTAGCGGTAGATTTAAAGATTGTTTACTTACACCGAAGGTGGTTGCGGTGCAGGCTGGAAAACTTGCTTGAGTTACGGTTACAGACAAAAACAACATGAACGATCACGTGGAGTTTGCTAGGCTCCACGGAAACAGAGCTCCGGATGCCCTGGGCAAGCGCGCCACCAAAATCGGAAACTCGTAGATACGTCTTATAAAATTTGTCACTCGAAGACGGGAAGAGGTGGGCGATGGATCAGGTCGCCAAGCTCCTCTGAATCTCACACAGGGTCTCTATTACCCTGCCGTGTACCCAGAGTCCCCACGAGATGGATGTGGAGTCCTCTTCGGCTTGGGCAGAAACCGCTCAAGCCTCTTATACGGCTAACAGGCCAATCGTTAGCCGCCACATGGGAATAATTTAGAAGTAGCCAATAGCGGGGAACAAATTTGCATACGGGTGGCGGGAACTCTTTTGCACCGTGCATTTAATGCACCCTGCAAAGGAAACCACAAATAGGCGGGAAATTCTTCCTTGCACCGGGGTTTTCCTCTGCAATAGAAAACTCTACCGTGCAACGAAGCTGCAATTTGGCGGGGATATTTCTAGTGCCGAAGCGCACACAAAATCATACCTTTGGGTTATGACAGGTAGAAGCACTGGGTATAATTCTCCTCCCTCAGCTGGGAGTGCTGGATACAATTTCTCTCTCCCCCTGTCAGCTGGGAGCACTGAATGCAATTTTGCTCCCTCATAGGGAGGCAGGCTTTCCCGTGGCATCACTCCAGGGGGTGGGGCCAAGGGCGATGGCACGGCCGGCCCACCTCCTAGGGGAATCCCTGCACCCTCCTGGTGTTCCCCGGCGCCATTTTCTGGCATTGGCTCGAAGCCCCCCGCCGCTTGCTCCAGTGACTCCACACTCGCTGTGCGCAATTGCATTGCTGAACTTTTGTTTTTCCACAGTAGACCCGTTACCGCACGACACAGCACTTTTATCACTTTCCCTTTCTTCCATTTTGGGCCCCCTGATTTCACCGCACGGCAGCCCTTGGTCTTTAGGCCTTCGTCACCATGTGACCCAGGCGATAGGGCTGGACAGTCAAACCAATCCGGCGGGGTGGGTTCCCCTCCTTCCCTCGGGTACCGGGTGCCCTGGGCAAACTCTTGAGCGGGGGCCAGATTTTTCGCCTTCTTCGCCTTCACCCCCACTAAGAACTTAATTACTCTTAATTACTCCACTTTGCCCTTGAATCCTGTTCGTGACGCCATGTCTCGGCCGGGTGGAGCCGACCGAGGGAAACGCTGGTTAATTAAGCAAACGTCAAGCGGGCTGGTGGATGGAGAGGCGACACACCGTATTGGTTTTATAAAGAAAGCTTTACTTACACTGCCGATGGTCACAGTGCAGGGAGGAAACTTGCTTGAGTTGCAGTTGCAGACAGACAAACACAAGTGAGATCTCTTCCGAACCGAACTGAGATGAGTCGTCGATATACGACTCCACGAGCGCTTTTTCACACGGGGGATACGTCAAATTACACTATGACGGGGAGTGGCTAAGAGCTGATCAGGCCTCTCTGTCCTCCTCCAAGACACACGCGGAGTTTGCTAGGCTCCACAGCGCGCTCAGAGTTCTCCACAAGGTGGTTGTGGAGTCCTCCAACTTGGGCGGAAGCTGCTCTAACCTTTTATACGGCTAGCGAGCCAATTGCTAGCCGCCATGTAGGAATAATTTAGAATCAGCCAATAATGGGGTACGAATTTGCATGTGTGTGGCGGGAATTCTTTTGCACCGGGGATTTCTCTCTGCAGCTGAGAAATCCACCGTGCAAAGAAAGCTCCATGTGGCAGGAAAATTCCAGTGTGCTGAGGCACTAAAAATCATTGGGTTATGACAGAATGATGAGGAAATCCCAGACAACCTCAGGGACACTATGATTGTGACAATCTTCAAGAAAGGTGACAAGTCTGACTGTGGAAACTACAGTGATCACTTTACTTTCCCCCACAGGAAAGATCATTGTAAGAACCCTCCTGAACCACCTCTTCCCCTTTGCTGAACAGCTCCTTCTGGAATCTCAGTGTGGGTTTAGGGCATCAAGAGGCACAACTGACATGATCTTCACAGTTCACCAGCTGCAGGAGAAATGCCAGGAACAACATAAGCATCTCTACATGGCCTTCTACAGATCAGTGCTGGTCCCTGCTGTGTGATCTGGGGCTGCATTGGGCGGGCAGTGGCAGGGAGGAGACCCTGGCATGGTCTCTGCACCCTGTGGGGCCAGGTCGTATGGCAAAGCAGTGCTGGTGCCTGCTGTGCAACCTGGCTCCGCAGGGAGCAGAGATCCATGCCGGGGGTTTCCTCGCTGCTTCTGCCTACCCCACACAGCCCCATGTAACTGGGACAGTGTGGGGTGGTCAGCAGTGGTAAGGAGACCCCCCAGAGCAGATCTATGCTCTCTGCAGGGCCGAGTTGTATGGCAGGGACCAGCAGCTTGCTCACTGCTCTGCACTGCTTCCCTGCAACCCAGTATGACAGGGATCAGAGATCTTTGCGGGGGTCTCCTCACCTCCACAGAGGGCAGCACCCCTCCCCCTCCCCCTGGATGAGCCACCCATGGCCCCATCCTGCTCCCTGATGGGGCCCCAAGCCCCACCCAGCTGGGTAGGACTGTGTGAAGCCTCCCTTGCAGCCCATTCAAAACAGATTTGGAGGAGCATTGGCTGAAACAAATTCGGCCAAAACAAAACAGGACAGTGATCCAAAATGAATCACTGTTCTCCAAAATGGCTGAATCCAATACCGAATTGAAGCACAGCCATTTCGCACATCCCTACTGATTATCTCTATGAATTCATTAATTAGTGAACCTTTGAGTGTTAATTGACTGGGTAATAGACATTGAGAGATAATACCCAGCAGAAGTTTAATGGACCTTTCTGAGTTGCCTTGATTTCTTAGGTGAAGGTGTGAGGGTAATGGATGGTCCATTATAAGTAGGCTTACAGTTTAGCTGAACTAAACTGATGGAAGAGTGAATTGTGGACCTCCATGGGTGACAAGATGTCAGAAACTGGACTAAAAGATCTAAAACCAAGAAACAAATTGGTAACTGAATTACATAACAAGATTGGCCATTGGCACCTTGAGAGGAAAGGGACAGGGCGTAGGGAAGGAGGAGCCCTTCAAAGCAACTACTCTGGGTTGAAGGCATTCCACCATCCTCCACATAATATTCACCCTTCTTTTTTCTATATTAAAAAGAAATCATGGCAGGAAAGACTGGAGGAGAGGGCGGAAAGTAGACCTTAGCACCAGAGAAGTGAATACAATCAACATACCTTCTCACAGATGGTTACAAAGAGGATGGAGCTAGACTGTTCTTAGTGGTGGCACATGACAGAACAAGGAGTAATTTTCTCAAATTGCAGTCGGGAAAGTTTATGTTAGATATTGGAAAAACTTTCTCATGAGAAGGGTAGTAAGGTCCTGGAACAGGTTACTGGGAGAAGTTGTAGAATCTCCATTCTTAGAGGTTTTCAAGACCTGGCTAAACAAAGCCTTGGCTAGGATGATATAGTTTAGGATGATCCTGCTTTAAGCAGTGGGTTTGACCAGATGACATCCTAAGGTCCCTTCCAACCCTAATTTTCTATGATTCTCAGTTTTGTTGTGGTATTCACCCATGTCATTCTTTAGACAAGCGTTTACTTCTTTAGGCATGGCTCCCTGGGTCTGTACCTTTTGAGGCAGACAGTTTGGCCTGGTGACTCAACCTCAGGAGTGCTGAATGCTCTCGCCTGCCACAACTTTGATATTGAAATTAGTTGCTGATACTCTGCCTGCTTCGGAACTGCCTTCATGGTCTCTGCCTCCCCAACACCGTGCCTAATGCTAACCAGCTGTTAGAATCCCAATAAAGTAAGGAAGATCTCACGGTCTTTTCCATGCTCCTTTCACTAGAGAGACCATGAAATGTCTGTTGAACTCTTAGGGTAATTCAGCCCTGCTGGTCCAACTTTTCTGATTCT